ACCTGTTGCTCTTTACATTGTGTGTAAATTTCATGATGAATGGACCAAAAGAAACGGCCCAAAACAACTTGGAGAAAAGTCTGGTTCCATTGACTTACATTGAAACTAAAGTGGGTTTTTTCCTTCTCCTGTAAAGTGATCATTGCTGAGATATGACGTTTTCTTCCGACAACAGTGATAAGTAAGTACAAAGTGGCAGCATATAAAGTAACAGGGCAGCACGGTGGCACAACGGGTAGTACTGTCGACTCACAGCAAGAAGGATCATGGTTCAATTCCCCAGCCAGGTGACCAGTGTCCTTTCTGTGTGGAGTTCGCATGTTGTGTCTGTGTGGGTTTCCTCCCACAGTCCAAAGACATGCAGTCAGGGCAATGGATATGTATATAATCTTACTTGTGCTATACTTGAAAGTATACTTTTATAAACTAAAAATGGGCCAATTTAGTCCCAGAAGTACTGAAATAATACATTTACAAGTAAACTAATAGTACAGTGATCTTAGTGTACTCACTACATAATGTATGCTTGGGAAATATACTTGAACTTTACTTAAGTCTACTTAATGAAACATACTTTAAGTGTACTTTTTTGTAAGGGACTGTACTGTACTACACTGCTGAATAGGGTAAGTGTTGGATTGCACTATGCTGTTGAATTTATCTGTGATGTTGAGATGTTTGAAATGTTAAATTGCAGTGGATTTGTTGAACTGCTGAACTGTGCAATTGTTCAGGTGTTAAATTTTGCATGTTGAAATTTTACCACTGTTGAAATGCATAAAACTATGTAACTGCACCAAACTACTGATTTGAATTGAGTTGAACTTTACTATACTGATAAATTATACAAGTGTCAAACTGAGCTACACTGTAAAATTGTTCTATCCTGTTGAATTATTCAATAGAGTTGAATTGTTGTAGTATTCTAGTGTCGAATTGTACAAAGTTAAACCTTTCATACTAGCAGCTGAGTGATTTACAACAAAGTGATGTGCTTCAGCTAAACGATAAATAAACTAAGTGTATAAAGTAATAGCTGAGTTATGCTTTGCACCGTGTTAACCTGGACTTACTGTACTGAAGGTTCCACTCTGTTCTCCTACAGCTGTCCGCACTGTTCCTCAAATGGAAACACTGTGATGTAGCACCTGCATCAAAGTTGGCTCGTGTCGTAGCTGAGCGCTTGGACTGGACTGTGGACTTGCCTCACTTTTAAGTCACTTTGGATAAAAGTGTCTGTCAAACGATGTAAAATAGAACAAATCATGAGGCTGCAGACTATTTTCAGCCCATAGCTCTCAAATATCTCTGGTGAGTGTGAACCATCCTTCAACTGGTTCTTGCCTCTATTTAGTAACAAGTGGAACCGCCTTTTGGCAATAATGTGTGTGAATAAATCAATTCTTAGTTTTCTTTTAAAACTGTACATTTGATGTATTTCAATGACAAAATATGAAAATATAGTGTAATATCATAGAATACATTTGAAATAACTCAAAATGAAACCTACCTGCTTTGTCTTTTTGGCCCTCAGCCCCCACAAACAACGTACTTCGGTCCCCAGAACTACACGTTTGGGGACCCCTGATCTATACAGTCGTTTGGATAGATATTTGGCCACCCTCGGTAAAATTCCATGTTGTTGTTGATTTTCTAAGCGAATAAGTTACACATCCTCTACAGAGAACACACTTCAGCACATTTTAATGCTGAATAACGAATGTAACACATCAGGGGAAAAAAACCTAAAATTATTATGGTTTATTTTTCTGCAAATATGTTAAACTCAGCCAATAAACAGAATTTTTGCATTAAAATTGTTCTCTAAATTGTTCTCTGTTGAGGATGTGTTAACTTATTTACACTTAGAGAATCAACAACACATAACTCGACTGAGGGTGCTCAAACTTTTGCATACAAAACCATTTCAGTTCAGGCAAATTTCTGAGAAGTGCTGCTTTCATGACCTGCTTTAAATCATACCACAGTATTTCAGTCGACACAGTGACTGAAAGCCTTCGCAGCTCCACACCATCAAACTCCCTCCACCATGCTTCACAGCTAGGATGAAGCTTTAGTTTATGGTATGCAAAACCTGTATATTGAGACGCTCCTATTGCTTTTCTACAAATGCTCAAACTTGGTGATTATCAACAGTTACACTCTCAAAAGCAAAGGTAGCAGAGCGTAGTGATGTTATCCTTGAAGTTCTGGCAAATGTGTTAAAAATGCAAGACACTTTATTTTGAAGCAGTGCATCAAAGCGAGCTGGTGTGGGTTTCCATTTCAAGCCAAATCTAAGCCCTTGTGTCCTGTCTGTGTTCATATATAAAGCCCACACTTAGTCCATGAAAGGACAGCGTAAAGCAAGAGTTCACAACTCACTGCCCACATCAGATAAACAGCACTTAAAGCTTTCATCTCTGAGAGAGAGGAGAAAATCAAGCTGATCAGATCTGAAAACATCCACAGGTGTTTCTGTCCATCCTTCCACTGTGAGAAGACGACTCAGCGCTGTGGGTCTGAAAGGATGTGTAGCTGATCAAGAAGAACCTCACTGAGAAAAGGAGACGGACACAAACAAAAGGTAATTGTATTTCTCTCAGCTAGTCCTTAACGATGTTATGAAGCTCAGGTAAGCTTCAGAAAGGTTTGAAGAGGAGCGATTTCTGTGTTCCAGTGTAGACCTTCCCCCTCAGAATCAAAGGCTGTTCAGACGGCAGGCAAATCGGATTTGTTTCTCAAATCAGATCGTTTGAGGTGACTGTCCGTTCTGTTATTTGCAAGTGATCAGATCTGATTTGTGTGTCCAGACATCACCAGTCTATCTGCATGGGTTGCCGTGGTGACAACGTTGGCATCAGTAACTATGTAGCTACGCTGGTGACGCAGATTTCAGATGCGGATGCAGGAGAGATGGAGGAGCATCATCTCCCCTCCAAACCCTTCAGAACTCTCTTCATGATCATGAATCTTTGGAGCTCTTCTTGAATCCCAGCACTTCCTCACTCTGGATTTGACATCGTCACTGTTTGTCGTGTTGTGAAAAGACACTCTAAATTCTATTTAAGTGTCCAGAGCATCCAGACTGAGACACATTTGTGATTTCAGGAGTTTCAGTGTCTCAGGGTCTTGTTGACGAGTGATGGGAAAAGGGATGGTGAGCTCGGCCGCAGCCTGGGACAGGCGGCAGCAGTGATGCGGTCACTGTACCAGACTGTAGTGGTGAAGAGGGAGCTGAGCCATAAGGCAAAGCTCTCTGTTTACCGGTCAGTCTACATCCCGACCCTCACCTGTGGTCATGAGCTTTGGGTAATGACCGAAAGAATGAGATCAAGGATATAGGCGGCAGAATGAGCCTCTTCACAGGGTGGAGGCTACACTCTACTGACAGGGTGAGGAGCTCGGCCATCCGGGAGGAGCTCGGAGTAGAGCCGCTACTCCTCCACACTGAGAGCAGCCAGTTGAGATGGTTGAGGCATCTGATCAGGACGCCCCCTGACCGCCTTCCATTGGAGGTTTACCATGCACGGCCCACTGGGACAAGACCCCGAGGTCATCCTAGGACCCGCTGGAGGGATTATCTCTCCAAGTTGGTCTGGGAGTGGATCAGGGTCCCTCGGAATGAGCTGAAGGAAATTGTGGGGGGACAGCGTCATCTGGGATTCTCTGCTCTCCCAACTGCTTGGGGATCCCACTCAATCTAACATGTTTTGGATCAGGATAAATGCTAAAGTACAGAACAGAACAATAAATAGTACATACAATAAAATCAACATATACTACATTCTTATTGGGCCCCCTGGTTGCTCAGGGGCCCTACGTGACTGTTTGCACTACTTATTGCAAGAAATGACTTTTGTAATTCTTGTTAGAATTAGCTAACTAACACGATACAGGTTTTAATAGAGCATGAGCTAGCATTAGCATTGAGCTACTGCACACAAAACCTGTGTAAATACAACAGTTGCATTTGACTCCGCCCCCCGCAGTGCAGATCAAAGTGACACGTGCGGACACTCATTTTCAGTCTGGTTATGTCCAGATCTGCTCTCGGTTCTTCAGTGAGGAACATCTCGCTGTTTTTCCCACGATGGCGACTGATCACTTTACCATCCACACACACTCACATACGGTGTGAGTCAGAGCCAGTAAAGCTCCAGCAGCGTCTCCGTGTCATCCGCCTCGGCCGGATCTGGAGCTCGGACTCTGCGGTCGGAGCAAAACCGCCACCACTTCCTCACACATTCCCGCTCCGCTGCCCTCGCACGGCGCACGCCTGCAGTTTACGAGGAAAATCCCCCAAGACCGCCACTTCATAATGCAGCCGGCCGGTAAATAATCCTACTGTAAACAGAAATTAAAAGAAAAAAAAAGTACGGAAGGACAGTCGGAATGATCCAGACATTCCGCAGAGTAAGTGGAACAAGCAAACAAACAGCACAGCTGAAGGAGCTGAAGGAGCTGAAGTACAGGCTGCAGTTTCCTCTCACATGGCCGCAGTTAACCACCATCTGACCACTCACTGGCATCTCTGCCCAAAGCCAGCATGGCCACTTTATCAGAAACACCTACCCTGTGCTTCCACTCGCTGGCCACTTTATTAGAAACACCTATCTTGCACTTCCACTAACTGGCCACTTCATTAGAAACACCTACCTTGTGCTTTCAATCATTGGCCACTTTATTAGTAACGCAAATCCTGAGCTTCCAGTCACTGGCCACTTTTTTAGAAACATGCTGCTCTAGCCTTTCATCAGTGATTAGATTCTGACCACTACTTTGGGTGGTGGACCACTCTCAACTGGTGACACTGGGTCTCTTTCTCTTTTCTCTCTCTCTCTCTCTCTCTCTCTCTCTCTCTGGTTTGTGTTTACACTTACTTCTAACCACATCAAGAAGAGTGGGTGTTTGGGGTGGGGGGGTTCCTCAGTTTGACTATAATCATCTCTGGCACCGCCCCCTTTGAACATAAAAGAGATTCCACAAAAAAAAAAAAAACAGGCGTCAGTTAGAGTTTATTTTGCTCTCGACCTGCATACAAACAACAAACAAAGCGATACAGGTTTAAACGTCTGACAGCGTCGTACACACAGAACACATGACTGTAATGTAAATGAAGTAAATGGAGTAGAACTGAGTCTGAGGGGTCAGTAGTGTGGTTCTGCAATCAGAGCTTAACGATCCACCTCACGTGGAACAGCAGGAAATCTCCCGTTATCTGTAGGAATATACATCTCGCTCAGTAGGGGGCGCTCTGGAGGGGGGCACTGAGCCATGCAGTGTGTTGAGCAGGAAGAGGGTCTGGACTGGAGAGGAAGAGATGAAGACTCTACATGAACCTGCAAACAAAAAAAATGATTACTTGAACAACAAAATAAACAGTTTTCAGTCTCATGATGAATGGACCAAAATAAACGGCCCAAAATGACTTGGAAAGATGTCTGGTTCCACTGACTTACATTAAAAGTAAAGTAGGTTTATTCCTAGTAAAGTTACTATCTTGGAGATGTGAGGTTTTCTTCTGACAACAGTGAGATATATATATTATATATATACTGTAGCCTCTCGCACTTGTTCATTCAGTTCATGGGTTCTTGTTCCAGTGGAGGCTCTCGAGGGGAACTGGATCTCCACCAGCCGCTGCTTTTGTTAGTTTGCTGCTGGTTGATTTTATCCATTAGCGCTGTCCAGGTACTGCTTTAAGAGACATCTAAGAGCTGTATTTGGATGCTGTGAGTGTTACAGCAGGGTTTATTGTTGCTATGGCAGCAGGACGGAGTTAGTGTTATAGCAGGGCTTACCGTTGCTATGGCAGCAGGACAGAGTTAGTGTTACAGCAGGGCTTACCATTGCTATGGCAGCAGGATGCTGTGAGTGTTACAACAGGGCTTATCGTTGCTATGGCAGCAGGACGGAGTTAGTGTTATGGCAGGGCTTACCATTGCTATGGCAGCAAGACAGAGTTAGTGTTACATCAGGGCTTACCATTGCTATGGCAACAGGATGCTGTGAGTGTTACAGCAGGGCTTATTGTTGCTATGGCAGCAGCATGCTGTGAGTGTTACAGCAAGGTTTTACCGTTGCTATGGCAGCAGGATGGAGTTCGTGTTACAGCAGGGCTTACTGTTGCTATGGCAGCCTGCTGTGAGTGTTACAGTAGGGCTTACCGTTGCTATGGCAGCAGGATGCTGTGAGTGTTACAGCAGTTTCCTCATCCTGCGTGTGTGTTTGTCGATGCTCATGGTGGCGCGTTCGCTGGAGGACGTTAGAACATCCAGAGCTTCGTCCTGCCTCTCCAGCTCCGTCTCAGCCTCCAGAGCCAGAGACTTCAACTGCAGCAGCATCTACACAGACAGAGAGATCAGAGGAACGTATGGAGAACAACCCAGACCGAGTACCACAGCAGATCTACACTACACAGCAGGTGTAGTTTAAACTCCCAGATCAAAGCATTTTATTATTCCAAAACAGTCATTCTGTGCTACACGCTAGGCCTAGTGCATAGCGATGGTTAACAGAGTTACTATGGTAACAGCTAGAGATGCACCAATCCCAGTTTTTCTCCTCACACACCGACTCTGATACCTGAACTCTGGGTATCGGCCGATACTCAGTAACAATTCAATATCAGCGCTTTTTTTAAATTTTGTTTATCTGATGGGGGCAGTTTTGGTGTCTACCAGCTCTTCCAGGTGGTTGTTAGGAGGCACATTTTCTCTGTAGCTTTAAATCCTTTTTTGATCTCCAGTTTTGGAAACTCTAGCTTTTTCCTTTGACTTTCTCCTTCTTTATGCACGTAGATTACACTATCTGATCTTTCCAGAAATATCTCCTGAAAAATTAACTTTTATAAATTAAATAAATGAAGAAAATAGAGAGGACCCAGCACTGACCCCTGAGGAACACCTCACATAACAGCATCAACAGCTGATCTTTGCTGTATTAAAACAATAAAATTATACAAACGTGTTCTACACAGTGGCTTCGATTGTGGCTCAGATCAGATTTTATAAGTGGAACTGTCCAGTTTAAGGCCTTAAATGGAGCTCAGTCATTTGGAATGAATTCTGGCCGAGGTGCCAAAGCTGTGCCGTTTCCACTGATATGACCAGAAATCACGATATGAAACACAAAAGCCTTCATCAATCAGCGCAGTGAGAGCGAACGAGACGCACTCTTTGAACTTCCCCGATTTGTACACCATTAGGTGAGGCGCTGATAAGGAACAATAAGGATTTACTTTAGCTAATCGCTTGTTGATAATAAATTATACAAAAGAAAGGCAAAGAGAAATGGGTCTAATGCCCGGTGGAATCTGCTGGAGGACTGGAGAAGAATGAACCACTTAAACGCTCTGGTATTTCACGGAAAGAAAGAGGTTTCAAACACGTCAGAGTGTGTGATTAATTATCGATAGGCTGTGTAGCTTTGTAGCACACAGTTACAACACAGTGGGCTCACAGTATTCACTGCTATTCACTGCTTATTCATTTCATTCTTCTTCTCCTTCTTCCCTTCAAGGCTCTACACGGTCTGGCTCCAACATATCGGTCCGACCTCATTTCATTAAGTTGTCCCTCTCGTGCTCTCTGATCTTCTAATGCTGGACTCCTCACAGTTTCCTCAAATAGACTTTCTACTATGGGTGGCAGATCTTTCAGTGCTGCTGCCCTGAAACTCTGGAATTCCCTACCTTCCACTCTTCGTAATTCTTCTTTGTCTTCCTTCAAATCTCTGCTAAAACACTTCCTTTTTCTTCTATTTAGTCTTCTAGATTCCTTTATTTTTATTTTTTTGGACACTATGTAAAGCGTCCTTGGGTTTGTGAAAGGCACTATATAAGTTGAACAATAATAATAATAATAATAATAATAATAATATTCATTTCGTTTTTCTTTTGTAGCAGATGAACACAGTGACTAATGTAATGACTGCAGAGGAAAACAAGAATACTGGTTTCTGCAGGTTTTCTAGATGTTTTTAGAATTTTTTTGCTGTTTTTGTAGCAAAGTTTAGAGCTGTGAATGAACTAAAATACATTACAGTCAGTGGGTTAAGAATGAGGCCAAACCTGGAGCTGAGATGTTTGTACAGTGAGATGTGATCAGAAATGAATTCTAGCTGAAAACATTAAGCGATTCAGTGTTATATAAGAAAGTACAAACACAGACGCTGAGATTCCTGATAGTTCCTCGGATTTCTGAACCTCAGTCCATCTGAGATGAGGCTCTCCCCAAAAAACAGCCTCCATACTCAGCAGCAGCACTTTGAAGCAGCTGAACGTGAGGAGCGTTGTGTAAACTAAAATAGAAACACTCACTCATAACTTGACCGTGACGTAAGGACATGGACAAACTATTTTGCCTCACAACGCCCTGCGTGTATCCCTCCTCCTGGGGATACCTGGGCGTGGCTGATAAGTAAAGACCTGCATCTTTCATACTGGGAATTCTACTGATTTTCACCAAAATATCTCCATAATTCAGTGTGTGAGGTGTAATCAGAGAGATTCAGAGTGGTTTGGTGTGAAATGGTTCAGATGTCTTTACAGTGGTGGTGATGGGAACCAGGGGTCGCCATGACTACAACACAAATATAGACATTTTATTTACCATCCAGAACCACCAGTGAACCTACACGAGTCTTCTGAGTTTATATGAATGTTGATGATGAAAATAGTGGAAAACCTGAAATAATAAGTTTTCTTTGGGGACTATTTTGCCTCACAGCGCCCTGCATGTATCCCTCCACCATGAATGGAGTTTAAGTTCTCTAAACTATCATAAAACAGTGTCTCAGTCATCAGGCAGTGAATTCATAACCATTTACTGTAGTAACTTTCTGTGAGGGAGCTTTTAGAGGTGGACGTCTGGCTCCTATCACCACCACTGTGACATGGACACCAGATTTGAAACTTTTTACATTTTACATTTTTCTACAAACTATCGCTTTAATGAAGTCAGACCTGTTTGAGCTCCTGGGCCTCGGCCTCGGTCACTGTGGGCTGCAGGACGTGCAGCTGGACCTGCGTCAGATCTCCTGCAGGAACCTCCACAGGCACCTCCGTCTCCAGACTATGAGCACCTGCAGGGGGCGACACTCACATAACTAACACCGATATATGCTATATGGCCAAAAGTGTGAAGACACCCCTCCCAATTATTGAGTTTAGATGTTTCAGCCACGCCCATTTCCTAACAGGTGGATCAACATAGCCTTGCAGTCTCGACTGACAAACACTGGCAGTAGAGGGCAGCACTGAAGAGCTCAGTGACTTTAAACATGCCAGGTCAGTGTGTGAAATGTCTGTCCTGCTAGATCCGACAACAGATCCCAGACAACTGTAAGTGCTATTACTGAGAAATGGAGCCACAAAGAGCCACAAACAGCTCAGCCACAAAGTGGTGGATCATAAAATGTGCCATTATAATAAAGTCTACTCTGCCATCAAACTGCTGATGATGGGAAAATAGTGGAATATCTGAAATAATATGTTTACTTTGGGGTATTTTGTCTCACAATGCTCTGCATGTATCCCTCCATGTGGGCGTGGCTGGTAAGTAAGGACCTGCATCTTTCTTTTCTACTACTTAATTCTACTAATTTTACCAAAATTCCCCATAATTCACTGTGTGAGGTGTAAACAGAGAGATTCAGAGTGGTTTGGTGTGAAATGGTTCAGACGTCTTTACAGTGGTGGTGATAGGAACCAGGGGTCACCATGACTACAACACAAATATAGACATTTTATTTTCTATCCAGAACCACCAGTGAACCTACACGAGTCTTCTGAGTTTATATGGAATGTTGATGATGGAAAATAGTGGAAAATCTGAAATAATACGTTTTCTTTGGGGACTATTTTGCCTCACAGCGCCCTGCATGTATCCCTCCACCATGAATGGAGTTTAAGTTCTCTAAACTATCATAAAACAGTGTCTCAGTCATCAGGCAGTGAATTCATAACCATTTACTGTAGAGGAGCTTTTAGAGGTGGACGTCTGGTTCCTATCACCACCACTGTGAACAGTTCTGACTCTAAGTTTCTGCAGAAAACAGAAGAGCGATCCCAGCCCCCCGTCTGAGTGATGATCTGTTAAATGCGTTCTGAAAAAGTAAACACAGCCATGCTGTCTGAGTTTCTCCATCGGTTTCATATATCTGAGTCAGATGGAGCACTGCTGCCACCTTGTGGCACAAAAAAGTATTTCAATCTGATTTCAATCAGCCTTAAAAGTGAAAATATGAATAACTAGTTAACTAATCGATGGAAACGTTTAATGTCAGGAAAATAAGCTTCATATTGAAAGCAGTGAGTTTTCAGGGGAGAGAAAAGACATTTATCATTTTTAACGTTGCAATTTTGGAGCATTTCTTTTAAACCAATCGTTATGAAGCGTAAAGTGCAGCTGCTGAGCTCAAATGATGAAAAAAACTGGAAACGCTTTTTTCGTACAGCGATGATACATTAGAGCCTGTATCTAACAGATTGATTAGAATTAAAATATCTTAAAATGAAATGTTAAATTATTCTGAACATAAAATATTTTTATGAGCTTTTAGATCAAACATGAAGATCAAGACTGATCAAATCTGTGACCATCACTCAACAACAGTGACACAAGAAACAAAGTCATTAAAGTGATGATTTGGACAAAAATCTAATTTTATACTGAGTTTCCCTTCGTACCCCGACTGTAGTGGATCACCCGAGACGTGTTTGGTGTCTGAAGTTTGCTTATTTAGATTTAACACTGGAGCTACGAGGCTAAATCAGCTAACAGGTAATGGAAGCTTATGTCCCACCAATTAGCACATATCATCACACACTCCTCTCAAACTGTGTGGAGGTTCAGCATCTCTAATAGGCTGGATTACGTGGTTATGAGGAGTGTTTACAGCTAAAACTGCTACATAGTCAGTCTCATTCTCTTGGTTCTTCAATGATTCTTTAGTAAAGAAAACGGTTCTGCAGTATAAAGAACCAAGAACACTCGAAGAAACCTTGGCATGGCTAAATGGTTCTTTGCATGATGAAATCGTTCCACAGACTGATGGAGAGTGTTGTATATGGTTCTATATACTCCGTGACCCAGAAGGATAAGTGGCTGAAGATGGATGGATGGTTCTGTATAGCACCAAAAGGGTAACAAGCTTGTACCGATAGAGGAACCCTTTTTGGCGCTATATAGAACCCTTTTCAAAAAGATTCTGCATAGAATCATCTACAGAACATTCTCCATCAGTCTGAAGAACCATTTCACCATGCAAAGAACCATTTAATCATGCAAAGGGTTCTTTGAGTGTTCATGGTTCTATATAGAATAACTGTTTTTACCGAATAACCCTTGAAGAACCACCTTTTGAGTGCGGGACAGCTCGCCAACCGAGCAGAGAGGAGTGCAAAGTACACATAATCCCTGCTGAAGAATACAGAACAGCTGTTCTGTTCCAGTTTAATCACAGTGGTAAACTGCTGTGATGTGCTAACACACACACGGTTGTGCCGGCTGGTGCCAGCAGCAGTAACGCTCTGTACGCCTGTGGTAGAGGACACAGATCAGGAATGACCCTCAAAAAGTCCAGTTAAGCATGTAGATGTGAGTCGCGAGCGCAGAAACACATTACAGTTAAAATAAACACCAACCTTACTGAGAGGAACCGTCCTGTTAGCTAACGACAGGGTTTCACTAGCTGGCCTGTTCTGCTTGAGCTATGACTGCATTCCAGATGCTGAAAGAGGACACACTAGATCAGCGGTCAGCAACATGAGGCTCTTTTCCTGCCCTGTTGTGGCTCCACAGCTGAATTAGATTAGTAGGTAAAAATAAAATAATCCTCCTTTACAGTAAAATAAAGCTCTGCTGATCGTTCAACACAGTTTAACAATAAATGGTCTTAAACTCTGGAGTTAATGTAGAACTGCTGATTCACCCTTTAACCCTGAAGATCAGCGCAGACTGCTGGTCACCATAGCAACACAGACAACAGTCTCGCCCGGCTAGTAGCTAACGAAACGGCAAAGAGAGAGATTTAAGATGAACATCGATAATTTGGAGACGAATGGACTGATTTGTGTTTATAATCACTCCAGCTGGTTTCCTGATACGTTTAATCTGCAGTGAGAAACTGTCAAACACTGAAAAGTCGCGAGGCTGAAGTCAGTTTCTCATTCGCCAGTTTCTCGTTCAAATTTTCCCGTTCCATCTTAAATGGTGCAGCCGTCGCATTCTGGCACCTCAGGCACCATTTAAGGTGGAACGGGAAAATTAGAACAATAAGCTGGCGAATGAACGCCTCGATCGTTGAGAGACGTTTCACAAGAAACTGTTCTACTTTTGAGGAAAGGTTTCCTGCTGGAGATGCGAGAAAAGCAGCTATAGCTGAACTAAAGCTTAAAGCAGAGCAAAGTAAGTCATTAATATTATATTTTTAGCCTATATCAGTTCATCAGCACATACTGAGACACATTTACAGCCAAGAGGGTAAAACAGACATAAAATGTTGTGGCTCCCAAGGTGGTCTGATTTTGTTGAAAGGACAATATGGCTCTTCTTACCTGCACTCGAGGAATTTGGGGGTGGGGTTTAGAGGGGGTGTGCCTATTTTAGATCAACTCAGCACAAAATGACGTGAGACGTTATCTATTAATGATTTGTGTTTCGTGTTTTTCTAGATTAAGTAAGACGATAAGTGTTTTAAACCCTGTGCTCTGTTGCGTCCGGTATGTGGAAGCCTGCAGCCTTAGGAGTGCTGAAGGTCCCCTGCAGTCGTACCTGCACCCCAGAACGCTGCTCCGCTGTCCGGCGTAGTGCTGGGCGATCCCTGGAAGGCAGCATAATCGCTGGTGAACTCCACCTTCTTCTTGTACTGCACCTCCAGGACGGACAGGGCTTCGGCCATCCTGGCCGACAGCAGGCGGTAGCAAATGTCGGGCTTGCCGATGAACCGCTGGCGGACGCTGATCTCATACGGGTTGTGGACACGGATGTCGTCCACTTCCTCCCTCTCGAAGCGGTGGATTAGCTGACCGCTAGCGTCCCTCAGCTCCAGCGCGGAGGGCAGCAGGGTGAGAGAGCCCGGCTTTAACTCTCCCGAATCACTGCCGCGCCCCACAACCGCTGGCACACTGCAGATCACTTTCTGGGCCTTCCCTGAGCCTCTGGGGGGCGGAGCTTTGGCAGCAGACTCCGCCTTCGCCTCCTGCTGACTCCTCCAGGGAAGCTTACCGAAGGGCCACCACGGCGGAGACTCCAACTCTGACAGCAGCCTAAACAAAACAATCATCAGCTGAGAGACGATACGATACAAATATCACCATCATTACACACAATACAGATCAGTCTCAGGGTGAACACGGAATTATTCATAACAGACACTGAATAATTCATATTATTTACTGAATAATTCATATTATTTACTGAATAATTCATATCAGATACTGAATAATTAATTGTAGATACTGAACAATTCATAGCAGATGCTGCACACAGTAAACAACATTAAGGGCTAGTTTCCCAGACCTGGATTAAGCCTAAGCCTAGACTAAAGCTGTGTCCCAATTCAGGGGCTGCATCCTTCGGAGGCTGCATTTGAAGGCCAATTGCGTCACAGCGGCACAACTAGGCTGTCCCATTTCGAAGCTCCTTTATAGGTGATCCGCTGTAGAGCCGACCGTCTCATTTCAGTTCAGCCTTCATAGCCTGCATCCTTCGAAGGACGCAGCCCCCCAATTGGGACACAGCTTAAGAAGAATTTCCACAGGCCATCCAGTGTTGTATCACCACTGGCACTGCAATGCAGTCCAAAGTTAGGCTGAATCTGGGACTGTTACACATCAGTACTGTAATAATAATTTGAGAGAAACTCAATTTCTACACAGTGAAGAGATTAAGATGTGATGAGATTAAGAGTCGTTCAGAGTGGTTTGGTGTGAAACGCTCTGTTCTAGATAAACTTACCGAGTCAGAACTGTTCACAGTGGTGGTGATAGGAACCAGACATCCACCTCTAAAAGCTCCCTCACAGAAAGTTCCTACATGAAATGGTTATGAATTCACTGCCTGATGACTGAGACACTGTTTTATGATAGTTTAGAGAACTTAAACTCCATTCATGGTGGAGGGATACATGCAGGGCGCTGTGAGGCAAAATAGTCCCCAAAGAAAACTTATTATTTCAGATTTTCCACTATTTTCCATCATCAACATTCATATAGACTCAGAAGACTCGTGTAGGTTCACTGGTGGTTCTGGATAGTGAATAAAATGTCTATATTTGTGTTGTAGTCATGGCGACCCCTGGTTCCTATCACCACCACTGTCACCACACAAGACATCTGAACCATTTCAGACCAAACCCCTCTGAATCTCTCTGATCAACACTCTGAATTATGGGGAATTTTGGTGAACTGCAATATGAAAGGTCCTTACTTATCAGCCACGCCCAGGTCGGACTCGATCTTGTCCAGGCCCTGCATCATGTTGTCGAACTGCTCCCCCTGGTGGTTGAGCACTTTGCCGGTGTCGGCCAGCCTGCGCTGGGCTCCGGTCACCAGGCTGATGAGCTCCTGACCCTTGCTGAGAGGAGCCTGAGCCTGGGCCTCACTGGGCGACAGCAGCCGCTCCCTCCAGAAGTGCTCCAGGACGTGGAAGACGGCGGCCCGGCACGGCCGCAGGGAACCGAACCAGTGCTTGACGTTGCCCTGCTCCAGGACCGTCAGGGCACTGAAGATGAAGCTGGATGACTCCATCTTGATCTCCACGATGCGGGACAGGGGGAAGCTGGCCAGCGCGTCGCGGCTTTGCTCCGAGGTGAAGCGGACGGCCGTGCGGGTCAGCGAGAGCGTTCCGCTCACCCAGCGCTTCTCGCCGTTCACGTAGTAGGAGCCGGGCCAGCTGTGGATGGGCGCGTCCCGGCTCATCCTGTCGCAGTGGGCGGGGCTCGAGCTCAGCGGCCCCACAGTCCGGCTAGAAGCTCACCTGCTGGACCAAAACAGAGGAACAACCACAGTCACAGCAGGAAACAGACAGAAGGGGTACAAAAAAAAATGTGAATTAAAATTTTTCAGAAATTCAGAAATGTAGTTTTTTTCTAACGTTACATGCTATTTTAAAAAATGATGAGCTGTCTGAACTCGGTACTCCACCAGAGGGCAGCGTAGAGCCCATGTCTCACGTTTTGGTCAGAGATTCTAATCCAGGGGTTTCAAACAGCTTCACACATTCAGAACATAAACAGTATATTTATGTTTTTATATTTATATAGAAATCTGGCCTGCAGATGTTTCATTTTTGTGCAGCTAAATATTTGGTAACACTTTTTTTTTACAGTATTTAAAGTTCTAGATTTTCTAGTGTGAGGTACCCCAAAGTACTAGATAATTACTCTGGGTAAGTTCCGAGACAATCTGACTAAACTACACCGAAACGACTGACTGGCTGATAAACCGAGTTAGAATTACATCAAACAAACTCAGAAACACAGAGATTCTGTCTTTATTCAGCAGGAAATGACCAGTTTTAACCCTTTCAGTCAGAGAAAAGGAGCCAAAGGTAAGATCTACATAACCAGGGGTCGGAGTCACGAAAGGGTCTTAAGGAAGAAAATCTTCTTAAATGTGTGTTTTTTCTGAAATTCATTCTTAAGAAAAAAGTTACAAGAAATTGTTATTCGTCAAAAAACTTCTTAAGAATTGTCGTATTTTCTTAACTCTTTTCTTAAGAATAATTAGAGTAAGAGTTTTTCCTGAAAACATTACGTTCTTAATTGTTTTCCTAACCTTACGACCGACTCTCACTGTCTCAGGCTGAAAGTTGAGGAGGTCAGTATCTAAATTTATCTCAGTGCTGCCTCTGCTCCTCATCCTTGTCTGTCACCCCAAAATTATCATATTTTCCAGGAGGATTTTTCCTGTTGGCTGTTTCTTCCTCCGTCAGCTCCAGATCTTATTTGCTAAATGTTTTAAACGCTTGTTTTGATGTTTTCCCCCATTTTGCTCCTCTGAGTGGATTAAATAACAGAAGTAACGGTCGATACAAAGTCAGAATGTATGTTGTGCAGTTTATGGCAAAATGTAACGTAGCTGACATAAGAAAACAACGAACGTTATCTTAAAGGAATATTTGAGAACTTCTTACGTTTTTAAAGATCTGCCTTTAAGAACCTTCTTATGAACTTTTTAGTGTTTGTCTTAAGAACCTCTGCAAGTTTTTTCTTGAGAAAGCTGAATCCAGCCCCCGGTTCCCGGCTCACGGAGATGCACAATGATATCGGAATCATATCAGTATCAGCAGTGGTGCATCCTTATTTCCTCGCTCACTGTAGCTCCTGGTTTGCTGTCCTCTTCATCTGACCAGTCATTTCTGCCGAGTGACCATTTTCTCCACTGTAATAAAGTCTATAGCTTCCTAGCAGCCCCGCCCCTAAAAGTGCATCATCAGAAGGTGGTCTTCCTGGTCTTTAATGGAAAAGACACTCCACAGTTTACTGCAGCACCGCTGTAAGAGGTGAAATGGGCTGCTTTACTGCAGATGTAGCTATTGTGAAATTTCTAATTTTGGCTGGAGTGCCCCTTTAAGTGTAGACGTTACAGTGCCTCAGTTATTAGGATTAATTCTGTTCATATAAAGCCTGCAGACTCACAGCCACCACGTCCTGCCCCACAGCAAGGCCGTGTGAGATTAATGAGCATCAGGAAAGAGTGACATAATTAAATTATTAAATCCGGAACCTTTCTGTTTACCTTTTACAGACCGGACACTGAACTGGCCTCCATCGGTGTGTGGAGTGCTGGATGAAGCCGCTCCTGTCCGCTCAGGTCCACCCGGCGCTGCAGAACCGTGGATTAAAGAGGAGAAACGGAGAGAAAATGTTGATTTTTTATGGTCAATATCGCAGCTGCGCGATCGCCACTGCTGCGGGTGCAACCATGTTTACAGTCCGATGTGGCCCGCGGATTAAAGCGTTCCGCTTACGCGAACAAATAAAAATAAATAAATACAAACACACAAACAAAATTCACATTTCGCTGAGAGGTTCTGTTGTTTTTTTTTCTGTCTTCTATAGAGTTCGACATTTGTTTTGCATAAATCTAAAATGATTACAATCCTATTTGTTAAATTCTGTCGAAATAACACAATGTCCTACGGCTGAGTCGCCAATGGCTCCTTGCTCCCTACATAGTCCACTAGATGGGTAGTGAAACTAGGGCTTCCACACCCAAACTGGGCTCCAAATGTTAGACAGGGGGTCGTCCAGATAATTGCTGAATAAAAAAATGCTTTCCGTTCGACACATGAAGCACTGTTTTTGTGTAGAGGCCGTTCTTTCATACCCTACATAGTGCACTACGTAGGGACTACGGGGTCATTTGAGACGCGACCCGTGCCTGTAATGTGCGCCGGTAAACCAGCTCCCCAGCTGCAGCCATGATGATCAAAACAGGCTTTATTTTCGCGTCACAGCTTTAAAACCTGCAGAATTCGTCACGACTTTGTTATGACAGGCGTTTGTGCGTAATAACCGTGTAATACGCGTTGATATAATGCTTGTGATCCTGACCGAATAGGAACAGCTAATGGAAACTGTCTCTTGTACATAAATATTGAACAGCCGTGTGGAGGTTATGAGGCGCCTTGAGATGTCCTGAGATGGACAGAGAGACGTTTCACAGCTGCTGCAGCCTGGTGAAGATGCCCAGCAGGCGCTCCTGGCTGCAGTACCAGCCCTCTCACTTCGTGGACTACATGGAAAGAGCCACAGCCTACAGCAAGTTCTTCAGAAACTACCTGCTCCCAAACCAGCCCTGCATGTTCTCCAAGAAGTTCACTGAGGACTGGAACTGCAGGAAGCACTGGGTCACCGAGGAGGGGAAACCTAATTTCCAGAGGCTTCTGCAGGAGTTTGGTGAGCATGTGGAGCTCATGAGTGCACAGAGAGGTCTTGGAGGGTCAGAGAGTCCATAGACAGATCTCACATGGTCACGGTCCACAGGGAGATTTCGAATGGTCAGAGTCCTTAGAGAGTGATATTAGATGGTTATCCAGATAACATGTGGATGTGGGCCACTTCTGGCAGAGATATGGCAGTGCTGCTACCATTGGCTGACATGAGCCACATGATAATCATGTATGTTTTAAACAGGGATTAAAAGGACTGGGGGAGCACAGTTTACAGTCAGATCTTGGCCACATACAGTGCAATGCACTGTAAAAGAATCCAAACTGAAATGTTTCAGCTTTTGTGACATTTGATTTGTTATTTCAACCACAAGAAATAGCAGGTTAAAATGCTAATTTAGTTAATTCAGCACAATCTGCCTCAGCACTAGGAACTCTACTATATATCCTAGTTTGCAGTTTAATTCAGATTTAGTCTATATAGGGAGTGTTCCGATTATTCAAATGGTCATGTAAACACCATACTCTGATCTAGAAATCTGATTAAGAAATCTCATATAGAGGCTGGAGTTTAATCAGATTTCTCAGTGCATGTAAACTCTGACTCTGATTTCTTTCGGATTTCTCAGTCTGCACGAGATCAGACGATGTCGCAAGACACAGTAAAACACAAAATAAAGGATTTAAATATTCTTCATCTTCAAGATGATGTATGATCATATTTTCAGCTAAAGCGGCGCGATGTTTAAAAAAAACAGCAGCATGAAGTTTGAGTTTTACATTACATTCACGTCACACTTAAAATTTTCTGTTCATTAAACAACAAAACTGATCTGAGGTTCACTGAACTTAAACTTTTCTGTCAGGCACGTCACTTATTTTAAACTAAACAAATCTTTTTCACAATGTAGTAAACATTTTGGATGGTCAGAGTCCATAGAGAGATCTTAGATGGTCAGAGTCCATAGAGAGATATTAGATGGTCAGAGTCCATAGAGAGATATTAGATGGGTAGAATCCATAGAGAGATCTTAGATGGTCAGAGTCCATAGAGAGATATTAGATGGTCAGAGTCCATAGAGAGATATTAGATGGGTAGAATCCATAGAGAGATCTTAGATGGTCAGAGTCCATAGAGAGATCTTAGATGGTCAGAGTCCATAGAGAGATATTAGATGGGTAGAGTCCATAGAGAGATATTAGATGGGTAGAGTCCATAGAGAGATCTTAGATGGGTAGAGTCCATAGAGAGATCTTAGATGGTTAGAGTCCATAGAGAGATATTAGATGGTCAGAGTCCATAGAGAGATCTTAGATGGTCAGAGTCCATAGAGAGATCTTAGATGGTTAGAGTCCATAGAGAGATCTTAGATGGGTAGAGTCCATAGAGAGATATTAGATGGGTAGAGTCCATAGAGAGATATTAGATGGGTAGAGTCCATAGAGAGATATTAGATGGGTAGAATCCATAGAGAGATCTTAGATGGTCAGAGTCCATAGAGAGATATTAGATGGGTAGAGTCCATAGAGAGATATTAGATGGGTAGAGTCCATAGAGAGATCTTAGATGGTCAGAGTCCATAGAGAGATCTTAGATGGTCAGAGTCCATAGAGAGATATTAGATGGTCAGAGTCCATAGAGAGATCTTAGATGGTTAGAATCCATAGAGAGATCTTAGATGGGTAGAGTCCATAGAGAGATATTAGATGGTCAGAGTCCATAGAGAGATATTAGATGGTTAGAGTCCATAGAGAGATCTTAGATGGTTAGAGTCCATAGAGAGATCTTAGATGGGTAGAGTCCATAGAGAGATCTTAGATGGGTAGAGTCCATAGAGAGATCTTAGATGGTTAGAGTCCATAGAGAGATCTTAGATGGTTAGAGTCCATAGAGAGATATTAGATGGTCAGAGTCTATAGAGAGATCTTAGATGGGTAGAGTCCATAGAGAGATATTAGATGGTTAGAGTCCATAGAGAGATAGAAGCCATTATTTTGTGACTCCTGTAGCTGTATAGTGAGTAGAGGGGTTGGTCCGGATTGGCTCTTTAGAAGGTTCTGCTGAACTGATAAACTAAAACACTGTTTTCATCTCTACAGATGACACGCCTGTGCCGGTGGCCAACTGCAACGCTAAAGAGTACAACGCCAACCCCAAACAAATAATGCCCTTCAAGGAGTTCGTCCAGTACTGGAGAGAATACATCCAGAATGGCCACTCCTCGCCCAAAGGGTGCCTGTACCTGAAGGACTGGCACATGCAGAGGTAGGAGCACCATCTTACCAGCTATCCAGAGGTGGAGATTTCTTTCATTCGTTTATGAGTGTGGAGCGATTTACTCCATTATTTTTAAATATACCCTAATTTTATCTCTATATTTAACACTATAAAGCAAATAATGACATCATAAAGCAAATAATGTCAGTAGATTTTCTCCAAGATATCAGCCTTGTATCTTCATTAAAATATATATATATATATATATATATATATATATATATATAGGCTGTTAAAAGTGGCCGTGGTCTTAATTTTTGCCTTCAAATGAGTGGAACAAAACATGAGAAAAAATTATATAATATTCTATAGGTTATATAAATATATTTACTTTTGATCCTTAATCCTTTAATGTTCTACCATTTGGTAGAGCACATTTTGAGTCACTATATATGCCACAAAGTGCCATCTCGACCGTTTGGTAGACATGAATATTGTAAAAATTGTGGGGTCAAAAACAACAAACACCAATTGTTTGTATTATTGCTCCAAACAAATAAAAAATACAAAACATATAATTCCATTGCTTTTTTCTTGGTGAGGGTTAGTCAATTTAAAGGCCCTGTATCATTGAAAACTGAACCACTTAGAGTAAACATTACCATGACAGCGAACATCACGTGAGTCCAGTCAGAGTGAGATGAGCAGCAGTGAGCAGCGCTTGTGTTTTTAACTGCTTTAAAATGATGTCAGACTCAGGAAAACGTCCTTCACATGTCCTTATTAAAGAAGGCCGAGAGGAAGACGTCGTGTTCTGAGACACATAAGCTGGACGTCCGTCCCACCGCCGTCTTTTAAAGATCAGAGCATAAACTTCGTCTCCTCTGCAGACCAGTTTCTGCTCCGCCATGCTGAACGGTATAAACTTTCACTATGACGTGACGAACATGATCAGAACGGACTTAAACTGTCCGATAGGGAATGTAATCAGATACAGGCGTTTACACGGATATTATTCTTCTATTTAACGGATTATTTACAGGATTACCCACCTCGATCAGTCGGATAGAGACTGTATTCCGAATGGCCTCAATCGGACTAGACTATTCCGACTGAGGTGTTTACATGGACGTATTCTATTCTGATTGAACTGTTAGTTGGATAATTATTGATCAGGCTGCATTTAAACGTGGCTACTGTTACAGAACACAATGTTCACTCCCTCCGTCTATATACGGAAACTAAACTGTAAAAACAGCCCATAGTGAACGCACTATTTCTGTGATGTCACAATAACTAACACAACAGCCCACAGCAGTTTTGCCCCACCCATTCTGTGCTGAAGTTATAGGGAGTGTTTCTGCCCGTACTGCTTACTGAATGAGGCACAGCCAATCAGAACAGAGCTCATTTGCATATACCAGTCTTAAATACTCAGTAACAAAAACAGCCATTTTTGTTTGTAAGGGATGAAGAGGTTGGAAAATTGTGATGTAAAATAAATTATGGTGGTTTTTGGTGAATTAAACCCAAACAAAATCGGATTTCATCATGTAGATTATGGGATCTTTGATTTACATCATATTCAGTAATATTGTCACTCAAACTGACTATTGAAACTGGACTCTGATGTGAATTGATGTAATAATCAGGTTGTTTCTGTTTTTTCTGGTTTTGAGTATTTCCTCCCGCACTGTTCGTCCTCCGTCTCTTCCAGGCCCGGTCTGTTAAAGCGTGTGTGCACTCAGAGGAAGGAATCGTGAAAAATATAATTAACAGGTCTGCGTTTATTGTTATAGGATGTTTCCAGAG